TATTGAAACATAAAAATGACAAAACATATTTAGTTTTTAATAGTTATTTGAAATAATAAAAACAGATTTAGTTAACAAATGATAGTTTCCTTTAGTTAGTAAAACTTTCAAAAAAATTCAAAGAAATTTGTGTTTATTATTAATTCTTTTAATTTAAAGCTTTTATCTGCTAATATTTTTTTTTGAAAGTGTTAGTTTGATGCGTCAGTGTGCTAAATGTGGGTATTTTATTTATTTGATTAATGAATATATCTTGACCGATAAATCTATGAGATTTAATTTTATAATTTTCGTTAAAAATATTTTATTAGGTAAGGTTAAGAATGTTGGCTTGAGATTTATTTACAGTAATGTTACCAATAAATTTAATAATGCTATCTCTATATCTTGAAAATTAATATTAAGGGAAAATTAAATAGTGAATATATTATAAAAATAATAAATCAAATAATATTAAGTTATTTTAATTATAAATAAAATACTTAATTAAAAATATATTATACAAAATATAATATAGAAGGTATTACATAAATGTGGGAATTTATAATGTCAATTGCATAATAGACTTTTCAGGTGAAAGTTTTATAAAATTTGGTCAAAGTGACTATTGTGATAACTAGAACATCGTAACAATTTTTGTGTAACAAAAAAAAAAAACTTTTGGATAATGAACACAAAGTTGAATAACTTTTACGTAAAAAAAAAAGAAAAATAACTTTAGAATAATAAACACAAATTTTAATGAGCACCCATAAAATTTACTCTATCTATTTACTATTCAAAGGGATTTACTTAACAAGTGATAGGCCGTAACTTTTACTACTATTAATTGTACTTTTTTAAGAGTAAAATTCAACTGAATTAAACTTTTCTTCGTTACGAGCTCAAGAAACAAGTCACGCACCTTCTAAATTTTCTTACTGCTCTTATTCAATAATTCTTTTTAGCAAACAGATCAAGTTAGGGGTCGTTTGGTTGGAGGTATTAGAAAAAATAATACAAGCATTAGTTTTGTGTATTACTAATACTTTGTTTGGTACAATTTTTTTCACCGGTGTATAACTAATACAAGTATTAGTGTGTATAACTGATACAGTTATACATCATTTGGTATTATCCTATGTATAATGCACAGAAAACCATGACATTAGTAATACCAAGGCTATTAATGCATGCATTAGTATGGTTAAAGATAAAATTATCCTTAAAGACCCTTAAAGCTAGAGAATACGGAGGGCATTTTTATAAACAATTATTTTTCTCAAAAATTATGAAATGCATTATAATTTTTAATATAACACACTTAACAGTAGATAAGAAATAATATTTGCATAACTAATGCTTGCATTACTGACCCATACATTACTAATATCTGTATTACTAATACACCTTACTCCGCATTATTCTTATACACTCTACCAAACGACCCATTAGTACTAGAGTATTTAATTTGTAGCGGAGAAGGTAATTTTCTTAAAGGAGGAAAGGAGACTGGTGAGAAGAATATAAAAGTCGCAAATTAAATGTGCCTGGGCGCACACGTAAAAAACAGTAAACACATTGTCCAAGGCAAAAGCTCGAGATTGTTGAAAATGCTTAAAGGCTAATAAAAGAAAGGAGAAGTGAGAGTAGATTTATTCTACCACTAAAACAACATAAACATTGCAAGAATTTTCACAATGATTCTTGAGGGAGGCAACCTGCTATGTGTAGTCTCTGACTTTGTCCTTTGGCTTTTACTTCCTTTATTATCCCCTCACCTACATTTGGTTCGCTGCCTTTAATCCTAAAGCTGCTAAAATTTTCCTTCACTATCCACACACTTGCTATAACAAAATGTTACTCTATTCCATTTATACAATGATGTTTTATTAGTCACGAAATTTTAAAAGAAAGAAAATTTGTAAGCATATATAACAAAAATACTCTTAAAACTTGTGATCTCGAATATATTAAGACATTTATATGATTGTAATTTAAATCATTAATATTAAAATAAAATAACAACAACCACTACTAGAAATCCGGTAAATACCGACCAAAAAAATCGACCAACTTTGGTCGGTTATGGCTAATTACTGATCAAAATGCGACCAAATACGCTTGGACGGTATTTTGATGGTCGTTTTAATATACCGACCAAAGTTGGTCGGAAATGACCGACCAACGTTGGTCGGTAAATTAAATTCAAAAAAAAAAAATATTGCAAAAAAAAAACCGACCAAAGTTGGTTGGTATTTAAATTATGTAATCAAAAGATTCACCGTCTAGGAATCGAACCGGGGTGTGTGCTGTGGCAGGATACTATTCTACCACTAGACTATTGGTGCATTTTTTTAAGATTGTATTTTTTTTTATTTATACTCTTTAATTATATTTTCGCACGAAAATAACCGACCAAATTTGGTCGGTTTTCTTAAAAATTAAATTTACTGATCAAAGTTGGTCGGTTTTTTAAAATGACCGGCCGAATTTACCGACCAAATTTGGTCGGTTTTTTTAATATTAATTTTTATTTTTTTTAATTGCAAAAACCGACCAAAGTTGGTCGTTTTCTTGAAAAACTAAATTTCGCGGGACTCAAAAATAGTTTCCCGCATTTTTGAGCCAAAGAAAAACCCGACCAAAGTTGGTCGGTNAAGTTTTGTTCTCTATTTGCTGAAGTTTTTGTTTGTAATTGCACTAAATAAGCTGAAGTTTTTTTGTCCTGGATTCATTAGTTTTGTCATTAAGCTTTTTCAAAAACTTCAGCAGACGATGCTGAAGTTATTTAGTTCATTTATAAAAACTACAACACTAAATAAGCTGAAGTTTTTTTGTCCTGGATAAGTTTTTTCAAAAACTTCATCAGAAGATGCTGAAGTTATTTAGTTCATTTGTAAAAACTTCAGCACTAAATAAGCTGAAGTTTTTTTTGTCCTGGATTCATTAGTTTTGTCATAAAGCTTGTTCAAAAACTTCAGCAGAAGATGCTGAAGTTATTTAGTTCATTTGTAAAAACTTCAGCACCAAATAAGCTGAAGTTTTTTTGTCCTGGATTCATTAGTTTTGTTATTATCAGACTACTATAAAATAATCAGATTACCAACAGTATCTAAATCATAAAAATTTGGAAACAAATAAACGTGAAAAGAACAAAATTATCATGAAAAGAATCATTAAGTGTGACCTTAAACTTCCCGTACGTTGAAATATTCACAAATTATTGTCTACTAACTTACGTAATTATTTATAATTTATTTTTAAATAATCTGATAAACATACTTATGGCAATCATCCCATGAACTGAAGTTTCATAGCAGCAACAGAAAGAAGAAGAAAACAAAGGAGGAGAAAGGGGGCTGAAGTTGTTTAAAAAGTGGGTACAAGTTAAAACTTTAAAAAAAATGGGTATAGGTTAAATGGGGGCGACCAAATAGGGCGCCCCGTGCAATTTTTACCCAGTATTCATCCTTCCATATTTTCACAAATCCAAATTACTCCATCTTTCTCATTTTATATGATGCATTTTGTTGGTTCGCAAAGCATACGTAATACAAAGTCTAAGAATCGTAAATTAATTTAAAAATCAGATGTCCAACTCACAGAGACTTGTATACTTACGTATGCTTTGCGAACCGATAAAGATTGATGATTGTGACTAAGCTAAAATTGCAGAATTTAAACAACTAAGTAGCTAAACTAACAAGAACACAAGTGTTTATTATTTTGTCTTACACTACTATAAATTCGGTAATTAGCGACCAAAAAAACCGACCAACTTTGGTCGGTTATGGCCAATTACCGACCAAAATGCGACCAAATACGCTTGGACGGTATTTTGGTGGTCGCTTTAGTATACCGACCAAAGTTGGTCGGAAATTACCGACCAACGTTGGTCGTAAATTAAATTCAAAAAAAAAATATTGCAAAAAAAAACCGACCAAAGTTGGTCGGTTTTTTCCGACCAAAGTTGGTCGGTATTTTAATTATGTAATCAAAAGATTCACCGTCTGGGAATCGAACTGGGGCGTGTATTGTAGCAGGATACTATTCTACCACTAGACCATTGGTGCATTTTGTTTTAAGATTGTCTTTTTTTTTTATTTATACTCTTCAATTGTATTTTCGCACGAAAATAACCGACCAAAGTTGGTCGGTTTTATTAAAAAATAAAATTTGGTCGGTTTTTTTAATATTAATTTTTATTTATTTTAATTGCAAAAACCGACCAAAGTTGGTCGTTTTCTTGAAAAATAAATTTCGCGGGACTCAAAAATAGTTTCCCGCATTTTTGAGCCAAAGAAAAACCGACCAAAGTTGGTCGGTTTCGTAAAAAAATAAATTAAAAATTAAAATATTTTGAAAAACCGACCAACTTTGGTCGATTTTTGGCCGGTTTTTTTACAGACCAAAGTTGGTCAGTTTCTTGGTCGATTTTTGCCGCATTTCTAGTAATGAACTACAACAATTCACCCACTATAATCCCACAAATGAAAAATAAAATAACTTATATATACAAAAATAACATTCTTTTCGAGGCAGACTAAATATTCCATCTGTTTCAGTTTTGTGTTAATTTATTTTCTTTTTAGTTCGTTCTAAGAAGATGCTATTTGTATATTATATTCCTTTACAATTTTGAATTTAAGAAAATGACCTTTTTAGATCTCTTATATGTAAAAGACAAATTTCTTACGTGTAAAAGTAAATCTTCCATGTGTAAAAATAAGTTTGGAATGACCTCTTTCTAAATAAGGAAAGATTTTAATTTAAGCTTCATATTCTACCCTTAATAAGAAGCTTTTATAGTTACACAAACACTCTCACATATTTAACACCACAAGTTTCAAAAGAATTATATATGCTGGTTTAAAACCGTAAATTTTAAAAGTTTTTATTTTTTTGAAGTCCGGGCCCGGTTAAATAAGTTTACATGAATTGGAAGGGAGGAAATATCATTTAAAATGAAATAAAGAAGCACTGTATTACTAGTTCCTTTCATTTCACTGTCACATGAAGTAGCTAGTGAACCTCCTTCCAATATCCTTTAACCCCTTTTTTTCTTCTTCCCCTTCACCCATCCATTTCCCCATCATATCTATAGACTCTTTATGTATATATAAACCCTAAAGCTAGCTGTTAGACAAAAATACTGAGAGTATCTGAACAATAGAACTCCCAGAAAATTTTCTAACAAATTGAAACTGAAACTTATTTTCAGTATGACAGAACCCTACTACAATTTCTTCACAGGATGGTTCAACTTCCTTCCTATCCATCAACAGTATCTTTCTTCTCCCAACTTTTGCTACAATAATTCAAACAACAACAATTTCCAAGAAGAAGTTTCTCTTGCTCCTCCACCTTCACCACCATTAAAGGAAGCTCTTCCCCTTCTAAAAAATGTTGATAAATTGGACAAGACTAATACTACTAAGTATTCTTATGAGAGTACTACTAGTAGTGCAGCTGAGGAAGATAATAGTAATGAAAATGTGAGTGTATCCTTACATATAGGGCTCCCAATTAGCCCTAGTTCTGATTTGACTTCATCAAGGGTTTCATTTTCATCTGAAGGTCAAGTGATAGATGAAAATGTTGGTGGAAATAAAGAATTTGATGTCCCTTTGAGCAGACTAAATAAGGGTCAGTATTGGATCCCTACCCCTTCTCAGATTCTCATTGGTCCAACACAGTTCTCATGCCATCTTTGCTACAAGACTTTTAACAGATACAACAATCTTCAGGTATGAAGTGGATTCAGAATTTAAATTGATGGGTTAACTTTTATATTTTTTTAATGTTAAACTTATTATATTTTATAAATTATGTGTTTAGAATTTAATGTTTGTTGAAATTTTAATGATTTTTTAAAATGTGTATTTATATGTTATATATCCAAAATATTGGGTTCAGATCAACTCAATCGACATATCCGCTTATGTCAGTACATACCCTATCCAATCTTTGTTTTCTCCATCAAGTTTATCTATTTTTTTTTTTTTTTTTGGTAATTCAGTTTATATGAATGAATTACAAGTTGAGGTCTGCAATTTTGTGTTCTTTTGTTTCTTTACAATTGTGTCGTAAAATGCTTATATTGAAGAGTTCAGAAGCTTAATTCTTCATTTATTTAGCTTCAACATAGATTCTTTTTCTTTCTGGGTTTCTTTAAGGTCCTCTGTCTTCAAAACGGTCCACCTGGCCACTATGAATCTAGTGTTCTTCAATGTATATTTTTTATGACTATTAATCAATATAATTATAGTTTTTTTAACCCTATGAATCTAGGGTTTTCGCCGGATTTGCTTACATTTTAGTAATGTTTTTACAGCAATTTTTCTACTAAAATCTTTTTCTCCTTCTCCTTTTTCTTTTCTGTTTCGTGTTTGGGGAGGGGTACTATATTCAAACTATTTAGTGCTAAATTTCTGCAACCAGGTGAATGTGGTCAAACGTGAACTGACAAATTTTGCAGTGTAAAAACTGACAATATTTCCAGTATACTCTTTCATCACTAGTTCCTCAGGAGAATCCGGACAGTTGATTTTCATCCCTTCAAATTCAGTAAAACATCATTCATTTCTCTGCATTAATGCTACCTCTGAAAACACACTATTTCTTGCAGAAGATGACTGTTGGTCAAGTTGCTTTCTCAAATGTTACCACATATACCATTGAATGAATCCCTTTTTAACTATTTGTCATGCCCCAACTTGAAGATAACTGTTGTTCAGTAACTTTCTTTGTCCTATTTGCCCTTCAAGTTTTAGCAAATATGATTTTTTACTCCTTAGCTTTACTCAGCCAAGTGTTCCAAAAGCACCATAATCAAGCCATGGTTTACTTGCAGATTTGATCATCGTCTTACTCTATGCATATCCTTTGATATTCTTAGTGGAATTAATCCTACTTTGCCTCTCTGAATGTTATTCAACACTCTATTACTTTTATGTAAATGCCGACTGTTTGTCTAAAAACTCTCAAATAGATATTCTACTCCCTCCGTCTCAATATATGTGGCGGAGTTCGCATTTTGAGAGTCAAACGAGTTTTTATTTCATCACGATTTTTATATGCCTTTTAGATATTTTGAATTACTCCATTAATTATTGTGACTTATAATACTTTCTACGTAGTTTTCAAATATATAAATTATATTTTAAAAAAAACGTAATGATTCTATGTCCAAATTCACCATCCATATTAAGAAGTTTGACTCTCGAAATTTGAGGTTCACCACATAAATTGGGACAAAGGAAACAATAGATATATGATTTATACAGTCATAATTTCTTCTTTTTGGCTCTTCGAGACAAATGTATGAAATGTTCTTCATAATTGCTAAAAGTTCTCCAATATATACATTGCAATTCATTTGCTGTTGTTGAGTTTAATTTCTATACACTAATGGTATAAAATTATTTACATAATCAAATGATTTGTAATGTAATTCAGGTAAACATTAATCGATAACCTCATAAAAACAATACTACAAACATATTATAGTATATTTATTGTCGATATATACAACATAAATTCATATATACCAGTTTATCCGTCTCTGATTATAGTTTATTTTTCCTGATCATGTTAGATGCATATGTGGGGACATGGATCCCAGTACAGAAAAGGACCAGAATCCTTAAGAGGGACACAACCAAGTGCAATGCTAAGGCTGCCTTGTTACTGCTGTGCACCTGATTGCAAGCACAACATTGATCACCCAAGAGCAAGGCCATTAAAAGATTTTAGAACCCTTCAAACACATTACAAGAGGAAACATGGTGTCAAGCCATTTATGTGTAGGAAATGTGGGAAACCATTTGCTGTGAAAGGTGATTGGAGAACCCATGAGAAGAATTGTGGCAAGATTTGGTATTGCATTTGTGGCTCTGATTTTAAGCATAAGAGGTCTCTCAAAGATCATATTAAGTCCTTTGGCCGTGGTCATGGCGCCGTTGGGATACCTAATCTTGAGGAATTAGAGGATGAATCAACGTCTGAGATCGAACACGATGTTGGATCTTCGTCTCCAGTTTGATGCAAAATCTCTGATAGGACTAAAAGACTCAAAATCGTCATAGTTGGATTCTCTTTGTTCGCCCTTAAACGAGCTACATTGTCTTTGTTTATGCTCCAAATTCACTCTTCTACACTTTAAATTTGTTCTATGTTTTGGATAAGAGAAGTGAATTTTCTGTAAATGATTTGCTCCAGATATGTAATATAAGATGTGTGTTTCTAAATTGGGTGACTTATCTTAATATTCTACTCAAAGCTACAGTTGTTTCTGCTGAGACATTTTTTCTTAGTTTTAAGGTAAAGATAAGGTTTCAACGCTTAAGAAAATGGTTTGACAAAACATGTTAATTAGGGTTTGGGTTTGGTCTGCAGCAGAAGTAGCCAGAAAATGGATCTCCTCTTCTGAATCCCATAGTTCTTATGAGCTTTAGATATAATTAATTGCATGCATATATGCGGAGGTGGAGCTAGAATTTAAAGTTTATGAGTTATGTACTTGCAACCGAACCCATAGCTCGTTCGTTACTGGGTTCATAATTAAGTATTTATACATATTTAATAAATTTTTTTATACAAATCTAAGATCTAAACAGAAGCTACTGGGTTCATCCGAACCCGTAAGTAACACTCTCCCTCCGCCCCGCATACATGGGCGAAGCTACATTATTCCCTTAAGGGTGGTCAATTGACCACCCTTCGCCGAAAAATTACATTATATATATAGGTAAAATATTAGGTTTTAGAGGTATATAACATATATTGAACACCCTTTGTCGGGAAATTTTTTTCACTTAGTTCAAGTTTGAACACCCTTAAGGAAATTTCTAGCTTCGCCACTGCCGGCATATATGTTAAAGATTTGTTTCATATCTCCGAGCAATCAACTATTGAAAAGTCACGTCTGTAATTTACTATAAAAAGAAAGATTCATATCCCAAGTACTCAACTATTGGTGTGTCGATTCCGTTTTGAGGTAGTGTTCCCAAAGGTTTTTGAAAAGTAATTTTGAGAATAAGCTAAATGTCAGTGACAAATATAACTTCTATATGCTGATAACATAAACTTTAATTGATTATAATTAGAAATATTAGTCACCAATAAATAAGATAAATAACCTGTTATATCATGTTATAATATACTAATAGTATAAACAAAATATTACAGTTCCTTCTCCTTCGGGCTCCATTTATGTTCCCTTAAATAGACTGAAGAAAAAAGCTCCATTTCTCATGAATTTTGCCTACCCATTTTGTTGTTCAATACTTCGTATTTGATGTGAAAAATCTCGTTTTATGAGGGGTGTATTAGTATTATCAACCCGGGTATATTAGTATTATCAACCCATATCTGTTTCCTGTGTTCTCTTATAATCTGTATATTCACTATTAAGAGAGCATAAAGTCCTTGAGCAGTGCATAGTGAGTGATCGCTGATCACTATGACATGATCAGTATGACTTGCGCACTGCTAGAAATCCGGAAAAAGCGACCAATAATTTGCGATCAAAATTGGTCTGTCAAGAAAAGCGATCAAAGTTGGTCGCTAAATTGGAGAAAATTATTAAATAATTATTCTAAATACATTAGCGACCAAGGTTGGTCGCTTTTTGGTCGATAATGTGGTCAAAATGTTGACCGGACTGGTCAGACTTGCTTGGTCAAAGAAATATTGAAATTAGCGACCAACTTTGGTCGCTAAAGTGGGACCCAGTTATAAAATTTTAATAATTATATTATTATTTAAATAAAATTATAAAATATAAATAAATATAATTTAAAATTAGCGACCAAAGTTGGTCGTTTACGAAAGGGGAAGCAGATAGATACCAACTTTGGTGGCTAATCTGGGACCCAGTTCTAACGTTTAACAATTATATTATTATTTTAAATATTATATAAAATATATATAAATCGGATTTAAATTTAGCGACCAACTTTGGTCGCTAATTTTAGTTTCTGGATAATTAGCGACCAAAGTTGGTCTCTTTTCAGGTCAACATTGGTCAAAATAAAAATCACTTTTATATTTACTATCTAAATAATATAAATGTAATCCGTTAACACTTTTGTAATACAAGAGATGAATACACTAAAATAAATACTCTACATGCTATATATGTAGTTAAAATTGTACAATGAAGCGTGTTATATATATATATATATATATATATATATATATATA